CTTTATGGCGGTCGCACACAAATGCTATAAAGTTATATTACAAGGTGTCTAACGGTGTAAAAGTACTCTACTATGATTACACAAGTCTATATCCGTCTGTACAAGCGTGCAAAGAATACCCCATAGGTCACCCACAAATCATCATTGGTGATTTTGAACCGCTAGAATCATATTTCGGATTTGTAAAATGCTCGGTACTACCCCCCAGAGGGCTGTTACACCCTGTGCTACCCCATAAAATGCATGACAAACTGTTTTTCATCCTATGTAAAACAAGCGCCACAGAATTGAATCAAATGACCGAGTGTGATCACACTACCACAGAACGAGAATTCACAGGGACATGGCCTGTTTCTGAAGTGCTGAAAGCTGTGGAAAAGGGTTACATTGTACAGAAAATTCAAGAAGTGTGGCATTTTGCTGAAAAATCAGATCAACTGTTTAAAGGTTATGTCAAAAAGTTTTTGAAAAGCAAACAGGAAGCCAGTGGGTATCCTAATCATGTGAAAACACCTGAGGATGAGGAGAAATACATTGATGAATATCACGAACGTGAAGGTATTTTACTGGACCGTGACAACATCAAACCTAATAAGACGCGACGGAGCTGTAGCAAATTGTTAATAACTAATTTATGGGGTAAATTCTGTCAACGTTCAAATCTAGGGCAGACAGAGATGGTGACAGATCCTGCGCGTTTTATGCAACTCATGTTTTCTGATCATTTTGAAGTCACCCAATTCCACTTCATTTCCAATGCATTGGCTATAGTACAGTGGCGCTATGCTAATGGGGTTCAGTCGCATGCCAAAGATTGTAACATTTTCATCGGGGCCATGACAACATCCTACGGAAGACTCATGTTATATGAACTTCTGAACAAGCTTCAAGACAGAGTGCTATATTGTGATACAGACTCTGTCATATTCACAGCAAAAAGTGGTGAGTGGATCCCACCCACAGGGGGCTTCCTAGGTGATTTGACCGATGAGCTCGGTAATGGAGACAGCATTACTGAATTTGTCTCAACAGGGCCTAAATCGTATGCCTACAAGACGGCCCTAGGGGACAAACAAGTCAAATGCAAAGGTGTGACTCTGCGGGGTGTAAATGTGGAGGCCGTGACACACGACTCTCTAAAGGACTTGTTAGATAAATTCATGGCTAATCGAGAGACGGATGAACATCTGATAACAGTATCTGACACGATTACCAGAGATAAGACACGCTTTCACCTCAAAAACAGGTCACTTGTGAAAAAACTGCGTGTGACATACGACAAACGTCGCTTGCTCGATGACTACTCTACAAAACCCTATGGATTTTAAAGCAGAGCTTTTTGACTCGAGGCTCCAGCATCCTTTTAGCTCTGTTATTAGTGGGCCATCAAATTGTGGCAAGACATATTTTGTTAAAGACATTATTGAAAATGCTGACGCTTTAATATCCCACAAAATTGAAAACATTGTCTACATATATTCATGCTGGCAACCGCTCTATGACGATATTCTAAAAATACGTAATGTTAACTTTATCAAAGACCTCCCAGAATCTTTGGCAGATGACACACTGTTACCACCGAGCAAAAACAATCTACTTATAATCGACGACTTGATGAACGATGCTTCAAACAATTTGGAAGTGCAAAATGTATTCACCAAATATGTCCATCATAGAAATCTTAGTTGTATTTATATGGTCCAAAATTTGTTTGTGCAGGGTAAAAGCAGTCGCACAATTAGTTTAAACACAAACTATCTAATACTTTTTAATAACCCCCGGACAGATTCCAAATATCTCTATTAGGTAAGCAGATGTTTCCTAACAAATCCAAATTTTTTCTAGAGGCTTTTAATGACGCTACAAACAGACCCTATGGGTATCTTTTAATCGATTATAAAACTAAAACACCTGATCACTTTAGACTCAGAACGAGTCTGCTTTCGGACAAAGTACTTGTGTATATACCTAAAAAGGGCAAAAAGTAATTATGTCGGCACGGGTGGTACGAAATTTATCTTTGCTTCAGTTGTTATTTAAGCTTCGCCCAAAATGAGGAAGGTTATTCTGACTAAAGCGAGTCCGGACCTTATTAACACCCTGTCAGAGCTAGCCATTAACGTGCTCAGTGGGAACATACCTCTGACTACGAAACAGTATAAGCAACTTGAGAAAAAGAAAAAAGTTATTAGAGTTATCAGTAACAAAAAGTTAAACGTTTTAAAGAAGAGAAAAGCCTTGAATCAGCAAGGTGGATTTCTACTACCGCTTTTGGGAGCTGCTATACCGTTTATAACGAGCCTCATCACCAGTCGTTAACATGGAATATACGGAAAAAGTGTATTTGGTGCCGCAACAACAGCTGGATAAACTAACGCAGCAGGGTCATGAAAAATCCATCACACACAGGGTACAGACAGAGTTGGACAAAGAAATGCTTGATATTTTGAATAATGTAACTATGGACCCTAATGAAAAAGCTAAACACTATGCTCACATTCTACAACGTTTTCTTACGCTGGTGAGAAAAGAGGAGAGTGAAAAATCTGTTTTAACATTAAACATGCCTATCTCAACTATTGAAGACCCTGTGGTCAACACAGACGTGATAGCAGCCGAGGTTATGAGACATATTCCACGAAATAGTCATAAAAACGCTAAGTTAATATTGGAGATGTTGTCAAAGACACCCCGGGTGGTTACGTGGAATGGAGATGGTGAAGTTGTGATTAACGGTAGTGTTGTAAAGGGCTCTCATGTTTATGACCTCATTAAGAATGTTACAGCTAGTCATAATATACTAGAAATTTCAAGACCTATCGGATGGTCTTTGTTTTTAAAAAACACTAGCCGAAATGAATATTCGCCAATCTGTCATTCCTAACACTATGGTTCGTAGAACTATTAATGAGTTTAAAAATATCCCTCCTTCTGATGTTTATGGGACGCCCTTAGTTAGTGCTAAACGTAAAAGATTACTGTCACCTAAATTCACCACTCCTTTAGTCACCAAGAGTGGAGCAAGTTGGTTAAGTTTTTAAATCTTCATGATTGTTATGAAATGTTTTCACGTGTGTTTATCATTCTGTATGATAAAATGTATCACTTATTATGAATGTGTGTGTGTGTTATGAAATGTTTTTCACGTGTGTTTATCATTCTGTATGACAAAATGTATCACTTATTATGAATGTGTGTTTATCATTCTGCATGGAAATAAAGCTTATACTTAAATATTTTTTCTCAATGATTTTTATTATGCACTACACATTGTACACAGTCGAAATCAGTTTCACTACATATGCCCACAGGTTGTATAGCATTAACAAAATGACATACCAAGGAATCGTTACAAGCCAAGTTAGAATCATACACACGGATAAACTCTTGATAACTTGAGCCTTTTAACATGTGGCATAGAAAAAATACACAATGTTGTCCACATGTTACAGAAAGATGACTCTGTACCTGTTTTATGGAATGGTAAAAACCTTCACTATTCTCCCTCATAAATCTATTAATACTATTAGGGAACCTTTTATAACCCACTAAACATCCGACGTCCACTCAACCTCCAGATCACGTCAATATCGCGTCGGTCGGTCGTGACCTTTTATTTACGTCCAAACGACGTCTGTGCAAGGTGCGCATCTGGACGTAAAACAATGACCTCCCATATACGTGGATATGACGTTCAATCCCGACCTCCCTTAGACGTCGAAAACAGGTCATCGGCTGACCGACGCAGTACGTCTTGATCTAGCAATAGAATATATAGGCTGTGAAGCGATCTCAGTGTACCTGACGGTAGTGTAGTGGTTAAGCAAATGTGTGCAGCCTTGGTTACGTGGGTTCGAGCCCACGTGTGTGTATTATTATCTTTACATATTTGTTTTGATTTTTAACGAACAATTTTTTTCTGTTTGGTTAAAGACTAATAAACACTCAACATAGGATTACGTAGTGGCTAATAATAAAACTTGTGAATGTATGCATTTGTTGTGCTAACAATCTCAAGTTTGCAAATAAGGGGTGAGCACTTGAGATTGTATGCAAATGCATGGGTTCACAAGTTTTATTATTAGCCACTACATAATCTTATGTTGAGTGTTTATTCGTTTTTAACCAAACAGAAAAATTGTTCGCTAAAAAGTAAAAAGTCAAAAGTTTTCCGACGGGGATTTGAACCTGCGTCGTTAGGACTGAAGTCTCCTTACGCAACCGCTACACCACGGCCAGACATTTATCCAGACTACTGTGACAAAATAATACATAACACCCTAAACAACCGACGCACACTTATGCGCCGCGCGAGTATAACTTAGGCTTTACAGCCTGACACGTGAGTCGCTCGGTCGAGGACCTGTTTTCCACGTCTAAACGACGTAAGGTGTGAATCTGGACGTAAAGTAATGCCTTCCCAGACGTTGATATGACGTTGAATCTGTACCTCTGTCGCTGCCCTGCTTTATTTAGCTACTTGGAATCACCCTCTCTAGTAAGTACACAGTCTGCACAGTTTTTAGATATAGATGTATCATTTCCACATTGAAAAGAGTTGGAGACAGAAAGTAAGTTGTTTTCTCACGTATACGTGGATTTTGTTAAGTATATTTTGTATATTATCTGTATTTTGAATTGCCAGTGCATGAATCTATTGAGAGTGAGGAGCTGACGTCATAGCACAGAGCCCCTCCCCGTCTCCGCCATGTTGGTAGGATCCCAGCGGCAAACACTTGTTGTTGTTAACTCGGTAGCAAAGGAGGTCGTCGCTATTTCTGTTTTACCATGCCTGGAGCTCATTGCTGTGTGAAAAACTGCTCCAGTACCTCACACAATAAGAAAGGAAAACGTAGGAACAACGGTTTACAATTTTTTAGGCCACCAAAATGGATACAACATCAGGGAGCGCAAGTGTCTGACCTGACGAAGAGACGCCGGATGGCTTGGTTGGCTGCAATAAGAAGAAAGGACCTTACTTTCGATCTCACCCCCAGTCGATGAGAGTGTGTTCTCTGCATTTTCACTCGGGTACGTCCTAAAATGTCTTTATGTTGTTTTTTTAAAGTTAAGAAGTGTAGGTTACCTAGCTGTTAATGTTGCAAACACTGAAGTGCATCTTAAGTTAGCTGCCTAGCTAACTATCTAACAAACTGTTGCCTCTATGAAAATGCTTAATGGCCAACCATTAATGTTAACTAAGAATATTTAAGTTTCTGCTCATTATCCTACCTTGTTGGTGGAATATGGGCACTCAAAGTGCGTTTGTCTCTGTCTCTTATGTTCTCTAAACCAGTGGTGCCCAAACTTTTTTTTTGTCTTGTGTTTCCACTACCCCCTGAGCCCTTTTATGAAACCATGAATAGCGTTACCTTCTTGTTTAATATTTCTTTAGATTCCAGATTGTTTAATAATCTTATTAATCTGATGTAAGTAAACCATTATATGAGATTGCTAAAAATAGTTGAGATTCTGTTCATGACATTATGCTACCTTGTTGCCAGTTTAAAGCATTGACTACATACATTATTCTGTTCTAGGTAAACCATCATATGAGATGTTGGAGAATCACCCTGACTGGACACCATCCTTGCGGTTAGGCCACAATAATGTTAAAGAAACAGATGGAGCGCGATATCAGCGGCAAGTAAAGCGCAGTACCCAGCATCTGGAGCAGTCATCACTCCCAGCCCAAGCCCAGCAGCCTCCATCACCAGCCCAAGCCCAGCAGCCCCCATCGCCGGCCCAGCAGCTGCCTCAAGGAAGGATGAGGAAGCTCTCACCCTTCCAGCTTGTCCTATTGACTGTAATGCGCCTCAGATTAGACCTTCCATCTCAGAATTCACGTTGAGAGGGTGATTGGTGTTGTGCGCAACAAATTCAAATTCTTACATTCAACTGTACCTGTGCATATGCTTCTCAAATGTGAGGGTGAAAACCTAATGCCTTTAGATAAGATTGTCACTGTTTGCTGTGCCTTAACGAACATGTGCAAAAGTGTTGTTTGAGTGCCTTGTTCATAACTTATGAACCAACCAGAACCCCTCATGTCATCTGGATCCGAGTCCAGAGTCAGACCCAGACACGGAGAAGCTGCATTCAGCTTCTATGCTCCACATGTCTGGAACAAACTCCCAGAAAGCCTCAGATCAGCTGAAACACTCAGTTTGTTTACATCCAGGTTAAAGACCCACCTGTTCTCACTGCTTTTGAATTCTCAGCACGCTTTTTTAATCTGAATATTTTTTTTTATTCTAAAATGTACATAAATCTGAATTCACGTCCAACTTCTTTTTTAAAATAATAATTCTGTAAAGTTACTGAATTACAACAGTTATCTGTTATCTTTTTCCTATGACACCTTTTTTGTTTTTGTGGGACCATGTGGGACCATAGTTAAAGTTTAATGTTCATGTATTGCTTTGTTTAATAAATGGATTTAATGTCTTCCCAGGTCTTCAATGTCAGAGACTTTCACGTCTTCTCACTGTGGCTGTTCAAATGAGCCACTACAGTCGTTATTTTTGTTATTGTTAGCTGCAAATATTAAAATATCCATTCATCTGCTGGTAGCAAGCTAACTAGCGCTTGCAACTCTATTCAATTTCTTACTTTTTCTTATAAACATTAAAACCAGCCATATGATAATTAAAATACATTTACCTTTGCTAATGCAGTCAATTTTTTGTGAAATCCATAGAGTATAATTTCATGATTGTTTGCAATAACTAATGTTCTGTGTGTATTCCTAATGTGTCATGTGTGTTTGAGTCTTACAGGTGTCAGACTGTGTTGAAGGTGTTCAAAGGTAAGAATCACACTCTCACACATTGATTGTTGTTCTGTATTAATATGTTGTTTTTAGAATAAAACCATTATTTGGTGTATTCTCTTTGAAAACATCTATCTTTTTCTCAGATTGTTCAGCAACTCACTCAAGATGAGGGAAAAGAGCAACAAGGGGAAAATGCCCCCTCGGAAATGCAACATATAGAGTAATACAGGGTAAGTAGCTTTCAGGGCTCATTTGTCCAAGTGCAAAACAAATGCACATTTGCAATTGTTTTTTTACATGGAATTACTCCAATGAACAAAGCCTTATCCCAAGTTTCTCAGACGGAGTGTCTTCCAGTGTCTCGAGCTAGTGCAGTGCCAAGGTTTGTATCACATGGTGATGGATTGAGTGGTTTGAAGCATTAATAGAAAGTTATGTGTTGTTATATCACTTTGCCACATTATGTTGAAACTAAACATGTTCCACATTTTCAGGTGCTGTGCTTGGACCTTGTGATGAGAGACTGAAGACCAAGAGAGGACACATGTTGGAACATCAACATTCAATAAATGCATTCTTCTGCCTTTCAGATTGTGTTTTTACATCTGGGGAACCTAGAGTGTAGCTTGTGCCTGTTTTAATACTGATCCAAACATAGGCGCTACAATCATGTTTTTTTACTTTGGCATGAACTGTTCAGTACAGTAGTGTTCATAACACTGTGCCCTGTGTGGATTAACTTGTACTTTGATGTAGAGAAAAACATGATTTTTAATGCAGCTCCATTTGCAATAAAGACTGATATCCTTCTACTACAGTTGTTCTAATGATTTTTGAATGCTGTGTTTATCGTTTATTGCCCAGAGTCAGAACTAAACATGATATAGCTGCATTTCAGATTCACAAGGCTAAAATCTGGAACGGTCTTCCTGGAAATGTGAGACAGGCTTCTTCTTTGACAATGTTAAAATCCAGGTTTAAAACACTTCTGTTTCTGCTTCAACTGAGAGATTTTTTGAGAGATTTTTATTTGTATCTTTTTAATTTACTGTCAATATTTATAATTGTAATGCCTTGTTTGATTGTTTCTATCTTTTGTTCAGTGCTTTGAGTTTCCTTTTGTTTTGACTGTGCTATACAAATAAACTTGCCTTGCCTATTGCAAAAAGTATGTCTCGACTATTAAGTCATTCTACAGAGGTCAATAGGACTGTAAATGGACGTCATATAAACGTCAATATTTTGGTTATATAAGACGTCGAGAGGACGTCGGACCCGACTGGTTCTGTACCACATTACAACCTTGAATGAACGTCCAGATGACGTTGGAATTACGTTGTTTTGACATCTGCTTGCTTAGTGGGAACGACTGAAAACGAACGTCATATAAACGTCAATATTTTGGTCATCGTTGATAGGACGTCAGACCCGACCGGTTCCGTACCACATTCAAACCTTGAATTGACGTGCCATCATCGAGAAAACTTTCATTCTGCACCCACCAGTGACCTATATTCTACGTCGGACAACGACGTTCAAATTACGTTGATTCAACGTCGGCTTGCTTAGTGGGAAGTTGGTCCGTTGCCGAAGCTGTCAAAGAAGTAAAATAGCCGCGCCTATCTTTAAAAAGTATGCGGCGACCCAGTGTTCCCCAGAGAGGGTGGAGGGGTGGGGGGGGGGTGTTAATGATGGCACACGCGGGGTAACGTTTTATGGCACTTGGTAAGCGGTCCTGAGGGCAAAACACCGAGGAAAGTATACAATTGGTACACTCCGCATAGAGTGAGTAATTTTGACTTCAAATTTAGACACAGGATCATATTTACTTCCCCTAGACTGCACGCATTCCTTCCTGACAGATATGGCAGAGACTGCCCCCTGTGTCAGGGCCCCCCCGAGACCTTGGAGCACCTGCTGGTCTTGTGCCCAGCCGTCCGCCCCTTCTGGACCCGGGTCCAGGATCTGCTCGCACGGAGGCTGGCATGGAGACTCCCCACGCCGGCTGCCCTAGGAGGGGGAGACAAGAAGTCCTGGCTCCTCCACTTTGGGCCCATCGGAAGTCGCTCTGGAGCCACCACCAACATCGACCTGGTTCGACTCATTACTGCAATGGCCCGCTACAGAGTCTTCATCGTCCGGAACATCTGTCTTCACAACCGCCGAACAGGACTTCACTGGCCCACATTCACAGGACTGTTGACCGCACACCTCCGTCACCTGCACTCTGCATTGGAGCAACGGTTCACCAGCACTCTTGTCCCCCACAACACCCTGATCCAACTCACACCATCTGGACTGACACTGAACCTCTGACGACACTCACCATGGATCCCTGTCACATCCCCTAGCCCTGGGAACCCCTCCCCCCATTGGACTGTCAGTATTGCATGTTATGGTCGGTTGTCACATTTGTCTGTTAACTCCATAATGTGTCCACTCCCCTTCCCATCCAGACCCTTCCCACTTACCCACCCATCCTCTTGTGTGTGTCTGTAAAACATTATGTGTGTGTCTGTAAATATTATGTGTAAATACTTTTTGAATCTCTGTACTGAATTTTAATTGTGTTTTGACAATAAAAAAAAAAAAAAAAAAAAAAAAAAAACAGGAATCCTAACCGCTAGACCATATGGGATTCACCAGGTAAAAAAAACACAAGAGATTGTCTTCCGCACTCGACTTGTGACCCAACACTGCAGGGGCAAGTGATTGTTATTGCTCAGCCTGAAGTATTCAATATGAGAGCAAAACATTCACTTTGAAAGTGCTACCAGAGGAATTGTTTTAATGGCACAACTGGCGATTGTGAAAGTGCTACCAGAGGAATTGTTTTAATGGCACAACTGGCGATTGTGAAAGTGCTACCAGAGGAATTGTTTTAATGGCACAACTGGCGATTGAAGGTTAAAAAAAAATAAAAAGAAGTTTTTTTTCCAAATTCCAATTTGCTCAACATCTATCTCTCGGAAATTTTGTTCCATGCATCCAACCGAAAAAAAGGGTCTTTCAAGGTTTTTTTGTCTCTTGCAAGACAGGAGAGGTGTTGTCGAGGCGCCTCAAGACCGACACTTTATGTATCTCAGAGAGCGCTTTTTGTATCTCAGAGAGGGCCTGCATTGGCCGGGAATCGAACCCGGACCTCCCGCGTGGCAGGCGAGAATCCTACCATTGGCTAGATGGCTAGAGGAACCAAAAAATTCAAGAGTGGAAGGTTTTTGCGACGGGGATGGGAAACCTTAAGAGTAAGAAGGGCTAGTGCCAGACCGCACTTTGGGCAACGGACTTGTTGACGAGGAAGCGCCTTGCCATGGTCCTCTCTGGTCACACACCATGAGGAAGGGGAGCCATGCCCAAAGGACCAGCGGAAAAGATGGCGGTAACTTCATGCCTCTGTGTTAGTTCGCTAACACACCTACTAACATTAGAACGATACAGAGAAGATTAGCATGGTCCCTGCGCAAGGATGACACGCAAATTTGTGAAGCGTTCCTCATTTTTGGCACCCCTGTTGTGCCATGGGATGCTCTGGTGCCGCACACTCGATAGGATTGCTTTCTAAATTTGGTTTGACCTGTGCTTAAATGGTATTCTCCGTCTGCTGCGGCTGTATTTCCACGCAAAAAACCACTACGTGAGACTCAGCGCGCTCGGCTGTTGAGCAAGAGGTTAGTGATTCAAGCACACCAAGGGACGCTCTCTGTCATATGTAGCAGCTTTGTGTTGGATGGCAATGAACGGACTTTTGTGTTAAAACCATGTTCCCATACAGGGAGTTGAACCCAGGCCGCCTGGGTGAAAACCAGGAATCCTAACCGCTAGACCATATGGGATTCACCAGGTAAAAAAACACAAGAGATTGTCTTCCGCACTCGACTTGTGACCCAACACTGCAGCGGCAAGTGATTGTTATTGCTCAGCCTGAAGTATTCAATATGAGAGCAAAACATTCACTTTGAAAGTGCTACCAGAGGAATTGTTTTAATGGCACAACTGGCGATTGTGAAAGTGCTACCAGAGGAATTGTTTTAATGGCACAACTGGCGATTGTGAAAGTGCTACCAGAGGAATTGTTTTAATGGCACAACTGGCGATTGTGAAAGTGCTACCAGAGGAATTGTTTTAATGGCACAACTGGCGATTGTGAAAGTGCTACCAGAGGAATTGTTTTAATGGCACAACTGGTGATTGAAGGTACAAAAAAATAAAAATAAAAGAAGTTTTTTTTCCAAATTCCAATTTGCTCAACATCTATCTCTCCGAATTTTTGTTCCAGGCATCCAACCGAAAAAAATGGGTCTTTCAAGGTTATTTTGTCTTTTGCAAGACGGGAGAGGTGTTGTCGAGGCGCCTCAAGACCGACACTTTATGTATCTCAGAGAGCGCTTTTTGTATCTCAGAGAGGGCCTGCATTGGCCGGGAATCGAACCCGGACCTCCCGCGTGGCAGGCGAGAATCCTACCATTGGACCACCAATGCCTTAGCAACTCAATATTAAGGTAAAAAAAGAAAGAAAATGGCTAGAGGAACCAAAAAATTCAAGAGTGGAAGGTTTTTGCGACGGGGATGGGAAACCTTAAGAGTAAGAAGGGCTAGTGCCAGGCCGCACTTTGGGCAACGGACTTGTTGACGAGGAAGCACTTTGCCATGGTCCTCTCTGGTCACACAGCATGAGGAAGGGGAGCCATGCCCAAAGGACCAGCGGAAAAGATGGCGGTAACTTCATGCCTCTGTGTTAGTTCGCTAACACACCTACTAACATTAGAACGATACAGAGAAGATTAGCATGGTCCCTGCGCAAGGATGACATGCAAATTCGTGAAGCGTTCCTCATTTTTGGCACCCCTGTTGTGCCATGGGATGCTCTGGTGCCGCACACTCGATAGGATTGCTTTCTAAATTTGGTTTGACCTGTGCTTAAATGGTATTCTCCGTCTGCTGCGGCTGTATTTCCACGCAAAAAACCACTACGTGAGACTCAGCGCGCTCGGCTGTTGAGCAAGAGGTTAGTGATTCAAGCACACCAAGGGACGCTCTCTGTCATATGTAGCAGCTTTGTGTTGGATGGCAATGAATGGACTTTTGTGTTAAAACCATGTTCCCATACCGGGAGTTGAACCCGGACCGCCTGGGTGAAAACCAGGAATCCTAACCGCTAGACCATATGGGATTGACCAGGTAAAAAAACACAAGAGATTGTCTTCCGCACTCGACTTGTGACCCAACACTGCAGCGGCAAGTGATTGTTATTGCTCAGCCTGAAGTATTCAATATGAGAGCAAAACATTCACTTTGAAAGTGCTACCAGAGGAATTGTTTTAATGGCACAACTGGCGATTGTGAAAGTGCTACCAGAGGAATTGTTTTAATGGCACAACTGGCGATTGTGAAAGTGCTACCAGAGGATTTGTTTTAATGGCACAACTGGGGATTGAAGGTATTAAAAAAAACAAAAAAAACAAAAAAAATGAAGTTTTTTTTCCAAATTCCAAATTGCTCAACATCTATCTCTCGGAAATTTTGTTCCATGCATCCAATTTCTTCAATAGTTTGCAAGAATGTCAAACCACTCTAAAATATCGACAAAAGGAGTGTCAGGAGTGGGATTTGAACCCACGCCTCCATCGGAGACCAGAAACCCCAGCATTGGCGTTGAGGAAGAGGCACATCTTGAGTCTGGCGCCTTAGACCGCTCGGTCACCCTGACTATTGAAGCAGCAGTGATAGGTGAGATTGTAGTAAATGTGTTTAATGGAGGTCACGACAAAGACCTCAGGACCTTCATCTCACACAGCTAACAAGAGTTTGGGTGATCGCCCGAACAGGGACTTGAACCCTGGACCCTCAGATTAAAAGTCTGATGCTCTGCCGACTGAGCTATCCAGGCTCTGGCTGCAAGGGTTTATTATTATTATTATTACAACGGTAGCGCCTCTAACTCCAGATCAGGTTGGGTGCTTGGAAATTGCCTGTATGTGTGAGCAATATTGGATTTGTGGTCATCTCTTGCTCTGCAAACATACCCAATACGGTAGTGTGGCCGAGTGGTCCAAGGCGCTGGATGAAGGCTCCAGTCTCCTCGGAGGCGTGGGTTCAAATCCCACAGCTGCCACGGCTCTAGCCTTACAGTCCTCCGCTCTACCAACTGAGCTACCGAAGGTGATCACATCAAAGAGACGATGTGGCTTGAAGCTAACCCAACTATTGCGACTGTATTTCCACGCAAAATCGTCTCTCAATCTGCCTTTGGGAGACTACTGAGGGGGAATCTGGAGTTTGTTGTATATTTTAATATTTGACCATTTGAACATCATAGCCAGAAAGACCTCTGTGCACTCAGGAAAAACCCCAAGGACACAGGATAATCAGACATGAGTCATAAAGATAAAATGCTGTTTAAACAGGGCGAATTATTAACTTTAAATAATAAACATTTTGACGAGGACAAGAGTTCAGAACCTGAATCTTGAGGCAGACTGGGAGATTCACCAACTGCATTCTGACGCCTCCCAGTGGACAAGGGACGTCAGCACACCCGGAAACTCCACCCCTTGGACGCATAAGGATGACGTCATCGGAAGTCTCCCTCATGAGCCCCTGTGTGTTTTTTTTTGAGGTCAGACAGGACAGGGCACGGACAGGGGAAGAGCAGGCCTAGAATAGGAGCACTTTTGTTGAATATTCTGTATCTGATTGTAAAGATAATTAAATGCAGATGTTAAACGTGAAGATCTCTTGTCTCGCTCTTGCATCGATTTTGGATACGTCAGTCAAAGGAAATTATTGACTTCAAGTTGAACCAGAGACCTCTTGATCTGCAGTCAAATGCTCTACCACTGAGCTATACCCTGAGCTATGCCCCCAAGAAACAAGACCAATTTGTCACAGCTATACCCCCATGAAACAAGACCACTCTGTCACACAAGTCTGCTTCCCTCTCTAGACATTTTGCAGCAGAAGGTCTCTGTGGCGCAATCGGCCAGCGCGCTCGGCTGTTAACCGAGAGGTTGGTGGTTCGAGCCCACCCGGGGATGCTCCCACAAGGGTAGCAACCATGTAGCTAGTTCATTTTGTTGCTTGGTTTAATGCAATGAAAAGACTTTTGCGCTAAAAGGTCTTCCCATACCGGGAGTTGAACCAGTGGCGCCTGGGTGAGAGATGAGAGATGATACTTTATTTTCTCACAATGGACAAATTCAGTTTGTTGAAAAAACATCAAGGCTGGCTGCATACTAAATTTCTGTAGACATCCCTCCCACGTGGCGGTAGATCAGGCCAACTCCAAACCCAATCAGGAGAAAACCTGCTATATATCC